ATAAATCCCACATTGGAGGACATACATTGGGTTGTTAGGTGTCTTGTGTCCAAATTTGGTGTCAATTCCCCCAGTGGTTTTTGAGTTTTGATGGTATCACAAACGAACATTACATTTTTATTTATATAGAAGTGTGTACAGTGATGGCGATATATGTCCTTGCTGTGTTTCAGTTTAGAACATTTCCTTATATGGTTTTAATTTGGCTTTGGCATCAATAATGTTATAATATCAATATTGATTAACAGTCCTTGCTATTTTTATAGGATGCTGCAATGGAGTATCAGCATTTCATATGTATACAAGTAGCTCAAAGGAGCTAAAATACTTTTGGTCAGCTGGCAGAGCATAAATCTCCACCAGTGTATGTGCATGCTGGTGCTCAGGGATGTGTATGTGTGATTGTTACGTTTTCTCTGAGTGTAACGGTAGCCTGAGGCTTTACCTCTATTTACTGATTGGAGTCATCCTGCTTCCCTTGCACACTTGTGGAAGAAGCAGAGAAATTGTTTGCCCCCTGCCGAACATGGCCAAAGGTTGATTCTTCTTTTCTGGGTCCCCAAAGTAGCCAGAGAATGCCACACATAATTCTGCAGCCAGTTAAATGGCTGGAGAGAGTGCAGTTTCAGCAAAGAGGATATATGTATTGTCGAAGGCTTTCATGGCCGGAATCACTGGGTTGTTGTAGGTTTTTTCGGGCTATATGGCCATGTTCTAGAGGCATTTCTCCTGATGTTTCGCCTGCATCTATGGCACTGGTTCTCAACCTCCCTAATGCCGTGACCCCTTAATACAATTCTCATGTTGTGGTGACCCCCAACTATAACATTTTTGTTGTGACTTCACAACTGTAATTTTGCTGCTGTTATGAATCATCACGTAAGTATCTAATATGCAGGATGTATTTTCATTTACTGGACCAAATTCGGCACAAATGTCTGATATGCCCACATTTGAATTCTAGTGGGATTGAAGGGGAGATTGATGCTGTCATTTGGGAGTTGAAGTTGCTGAGATTCATAGTTCACATACAATCAAAGAGCATTCTGAACTCCACCAATGACTGAATTGAACCAGTCTTGGCACACAGAACTCCTATGACCAACCGTAAATACTGGAAGGGTTTGATAGGCATTGACCTTGAGTTTTGGAGTTGTAGTTCACCTACTTCCAGAGAGCACTGTGGACTCAGACAATGATGGATCTGGACCAAACTTGGCATGAATACCCAACATGCCCAAATGTGAATACTGGAGGAGGTTAGAGAAAATAGACCTTGACATTTGGGAGTTGTAGTTGCTGGGATTTATAGTTCACCTACAATCAAAGAGCATTCTGAACTCCAACAATGAGAGAATTGGGCTAAACTTCCTACACAGAACCCCCATGACCAATAGAAAATACTGTGTTTTCTGATGGTCTTTGGCGACCCCTCTGATACCCCCTCGCGACCCCCCCCAGGGGTCCCGACCCCCAGGTTGAGAAACACTGATCTATGGCAAGCATATTGTGCAAAAATGTAACCTCCTTGCACAAGATCGTTAAAAATATTTTGCCACCATTATATTGGATTATTCCAACATAAGTTACCTATCTATATAAATAAAAATGTAACGTTTGTTTGTGGGATTAACATAACTCAAAAACCACTGGACTAATTGTCATGAAATTTGGACACTATACCGCTAACAGACCAAGGAGTGACCATCACTCATAAAAAACCCAAAAATAGCAGAAAGGACTTAAAACCCCCAAAAAGCTAAATAACAAAAATGCAGAAAAAAGGAAAGGAAGAGGGAGGGAAGGAAGGGAAGAAAGAAAGAAAGAAAGATGGAAAGAAGGAAAGAGAGAAGGAAGGATGGAAGCAAAGAGCAAAGGAAGGAAGGAAAGATGTAGAGAGGAAGAAAGGAGAGAAAGAAAGAAAGAAAGAAAGAAAGAAAGAAAGAAAGAAAGAAAGAAAGCGAGAAGGAAGGATGGAAGCAAAGAGCAAAGGAAGGAAGGAAAAATGTAGAGAAAGAAAGAAAGAGGGAAAGAGAGAAGGAAGGATGGAAGCAAAGAGCAAAGGAAGGAAGGAAAGAGGTAGAGAAGGAAGAAAGGAGAGAAAGAAAGAAAGAAAGAAAGAAAGAAAGAAAGAAAGAAAGAAAGGGGGCAGCAAGAAAGAAGGAAAGAGTGAAGGAAGAATGGAAGCAAAGAGCAAAGGAAGGAAGGAAAGAGGAGAGAAGGAAGAAAGGAGAAAAAGAGGGCAGGAAAGAAAGAAGGAAAGAGAGAAGGAAGGATGGAAGCAAAGAGCAAAGGAAGGAAGGAAAAAGGAAGAAAAGGAAGAAAGAGAAAGAAAGGAAGGAGAGGAAGAGGGCAAGAAAGAAGGAAAGAGAGAAGGAAGAATGGAAGCAAAGAGCAAAGGAAGGAAGGAAGGAAGGAGAGAAAGAAGTAGGAAAAGAAAAAGGAGGAAAGGAAGAAAAGAGATAGAAGAGGAAGGAAGGAGAGAAAGAAAGAAAAAAGGGAAGGAAGGAAAGAAAGAGGGAGCGAAGGAAGGAGAGAAAGGGAGGGAAGGAAGAAAGGAGAGAAAGAGGGAGGAAAAGAAAAAGGGGGAGGAAGGAAAGAGGTAGAGAAGGAAGGAAGGAGAGAATGAAAGAAGGAAAGGGAAGGAAGGAAAGAGGAAGGAGGGAAAGGAGAGAAAGGGGGAGGGAAGGTTGGCCACAGCAACGCGTGGAGGGTACAGCTAGTAACATATAACTGCATACGTCATTAGTTGGGGACCCCTCCCCCCAGCACCAACTACCGCTCTGGCCAGAGTGAAGAGGGGGGGGGAGAGGGGACAGTTCCATTTTGTCTCCTGTGCTATGCTAATAATAAATATAATATAATATAATATAATATAATATAATATAATAATATAATATAATATAATATAATATAATATAATATAATATAATATAATATAATATAATAATATAAGGAGCCCCCGGTGGCTCAGTGAGTTAAAGCGCTGAGCTGCTGAGCTTGTTGACCAAAAGGTTGCAGGTTTGATTTCGGGGAGCGGCGTGAACTTCCGCTGTCAGCCCTAGCTTCTGCCAACCTAGCAGTTCGAAAACATGCAAATGTGAGTAGATCAATAGGTACTGCTCTGGCGGGAAGGTAAAGGCGCTCCATGCAGTCATATCAGCCACATGACCTTGGAGGTGTGTACAGACAACGTCGGCTCTTCGACTTAGAAATGGAGATGAGCACCACACCCCAGAGTCAGACGTGACTGGACTTAATGTCAGGGGACAACCTTTACCTTTAACTTTTAATATAATGTAATATAAAATATTGTATATACATATAATATTTATAATATTATAATATAATACAATATAATACTAATAATAATATGATATTATAATTATATATATTTATATTACATGTAATATTACTAATAATATTACAATATAATGGTATAGTACAATATAGTAAAATATAATACTGATATTGTATTATGCTAATAATATAATATATTCTATGTATATATATCTTGTAAGCCACTCAGAGTCCCCTTCGGGGTGAGAAGGGCACATATAAATGTCGTAAATAAATAAAACATTATTACTATTGGGAGGAAAGTCACTCCTTTCCACCTGTCACCAAGGAGGCTGTCCAAACCTTGAACCGGTGCTTGGCCGCTGTGTCGGACTGGATGAGAGCTAACAAATTGAAATTGAATCCAGACAAGACAGAGGTCCTAATGGTCAGTCGTAAGGCCGAACAGGGCATAGGGTTACAGCCTGTGTTAGATGGGGTTACACTCCCCCTGAAGACGCAGGTTCGCAGCTTGGGAGTGATCCTGGACTCATTGCTGAACCTGGAATCCCAGGTCTCGGCAGTGGCCGGGAGAGCTTTTGCACAATTAAAACTTGTGTGCCAGTTGCGCCCATACCTTGGGAAGTCTGATCTGGCCACAATGGTCCACGCTCTTGTTACATCCCAAATAGATTACTGCAACACGCTCTACGTGGGGTTGCCTTTGAAAACTGTTCGGAAACTTCAGTTAGTCCAACGGGTGGCAGCTAGATTAATCACCGGAGCGTCATACAGGGTGCATACCACCCCTCTGTTGTGTCAGCTCCACTGGCTGCCGATCCAGTTCCGAGCACAATTCAAAGTGCTGGTTTTGACCTATAAAACCCTATACGGCTCTGGCCCAGCATACTTGTCCGAATGTATCTCCTTCTATGTCCCACCTCTGAGGTTAAGATCTTCTGGGGAGGCCCTGCTCTCGACCCTGCCTCTATCGCAAGTGAGGCTGGTAAGGACGAGGGACAGGACCTTCTCAGTGGTGGCCCCTCGCTTGTGGAACTCACTCCCCGGGGAAATTAGGTCATCAACATCCCTCCTCTCCTTCAGAAGGAAGCTGAAAACATGGATATGGGACCAGGCCTTTGGGTAATCTGGCAGACTGACAAGCTAATGACGACCAGAATTTGGAAAGGACTATGGTAATGCTGAATGGACTTACGGATTTTAGAACTCGGTGAATGTTGGCCACTAGATTGGCTTTTTAGTTTTTATTGTATTAATTGAATGTTTTAACTATTGTGGTTATTGTTGTTATGTATTTTATCTGTTGAATTGTTGGCATCGAATTGTGCCGGTTGTAAGCTGCCCTGAGTCCCCCCTTGGGGGTTGAGAAGGGCGGGGTAGAAGTGCCCGAAATAAATAAATAAATAAAGTTCAAAAACAAAACTCCAAACCCAGTTGCATGTGTGTGCGTGTGCCTTCAAATTACCAGTTGACTTATCGTGGTTTCATGACTTTCATAGGGTTTTCTTAAACAATAAATATCCAGAGGTAGATTTCCCAGTTACTTTTTCTGAAATATCACTCACATCATCTGATCTTCACTGGCAGTTTCCCATTCAAGTATTCCCCAGGACTGACCTTTAGCTTCCAAAATCAGGGAAGTAGGGCACCCAAACCCATGACACATGCAAAAACTACCTGAAAAATTCAGAATTCTCACCTCCACCCATTTAGAACTTTTTAATAAACTGAAGTATGTCTGCAAATGCTGATCTCGTGCATGCAAATTCAGTAATCCCGGTATCAACAAATAATGCAAATCCATGGAACCCATCTTCGAGATGGTTCCAGGTCACATGCACGCCATTGTCCTCGAGTCGTTTCTTATACAGCAGCCCATCATCTCGAAATATGTCATATTCACAAGTCAAAATGTATGTCTCAGGAAGTTGTTGTATAACGGCATCCACATCTTGAATTGGTGAGCTCAATGTTTTGTCATACAGTCTGACTTTTTCATATAATTCTTTTGAAAAGGGAACTGGAGGTGGAGGTTTGTATCCACGGGCTTTAAATTTTTCCGGGATGAGGTCTGCACTAATACATTTCTTGATTTGCATCCTCATAATCTCAGGAACATGGGCATTGTTCAACATGTCTTCTACATTGTCCAGTTTCTCATCCAGAAAGGTAAAAGCAAGCTTTGCGGCCCGTCTCATGGTCAAAGCAGGGCCAAATTGGTTTTGCTGATGTGCTGGCAATGACAGGTCCACTATTTGAAGGAATGGGTACAACAAGATTTGAGCTCGAACCTTTGGAACATGCATTCTTTTCACCAGTTCCCGACAGACGGTTGAAACAAGTGTCCCTCCACTGCTTTCCCCAATAAGGATAATGCGGTTAGGATCTACTCCATAGTTTTTTGCATGGTTCATAAAATATAGAGTTCCAGTGAGGCAGTCTGTCATCTGGGCTGGATGCTGGTGCTCAGGAGCTAGCCGAAAGCTGAAACGGCAAACAAAAGTACTAGTTTGCATCATTTGATAAAATGGTACAATTTCCTTCGCTAGACAAGACAGAGGTCCTACTGGTCAGTCATAAGGCCGAACAGGGCATAGGGTTACAGCCTGTGTTAGATGGGGTTACACTCCCCCTGAAGATGCAGGTTCGCAGCTTGGGAGTGATCCTGGACTCATCGCTGAGCCTGGAACCCCAGGTCTCAGCGGTGGCCGGGAGAGCATTTGCACAATTAAAACTTGTGTGCCAGTTGCACCCGTACCTTGGGAAGTCAAATCTGGCCACAGTGATCCATGCTCTTGTTACATCCCGAATAGATTACTGCAATGCACTCTACGTGGGGTTGCCTTTGAAGAGTGTTCGGAAACTTCAATTAGTCCAGCGGGCGGAGGCCAGATTACTCACCGGAGCGTCATACAGGGAACATACCACCCCTCTGTTATGTCAGCTCCACTGGCTGCTGATCCTGTTCCGAGCACAATTCAAAGTGCTGGTTCTGACCTACAAAAGCCTATACAGCTCCGGCCCAGCGTACCTGTCCGAATGCATCTCCTTCTACGTCCCACCTCGGAGTTTAAGATCTTCTTGGTAGGTCCTGCTCTCGGCCCCACCTTTATCACAAGTGAGACTGGTGGGGATGAGGAGCAGGGCCTTCTCGGTGGTGGCCCCTCGCCTGTGGAATTCACTTCCTAGGGAAATTAGGCCATTGACATCCCTCCTCTCTTTTAGAAGGAAACTAAAAACATGGATATGGGACCAGGCCTTTGGGTAATCTGGCAGATAGACAAAGGACAATGATGACTAGAACTGATAGGAGATGACAATGTGGAATGAACTTACGGATCCTGAGCTGGTGAACGTTGAACATTAGATTGGTTTTTATTGATTGTGATGTATAACTTGATTGTTTTAACTGTTTTATAATTGCTGTTGGTATATGTTTTATCTTATTGTCTGTTGCTGGCATCGAATTGTGCCTTTTGTAAGCCGCCCTGAGTCCCCCCCCCCCCTCGGGGGTTGAGAAGGGCGGGGTAGAAATGCGCAAAATAAATAAAATAAATAGACCTTTACTCGGACTGGGACAACCCACGACAGCTAATCAATCATTACAGCAGTATTAAGTCATTGCCAGGCATGTAGGCTTAACCCCCCCCCCCCCAATTCTCATGGTGGTCTGCGAGAAGGCCTTACTGGTACATTATTTAAACTGTTATGTTTATTCATATCATGATCTGATCACCATGCTCAATATATCCCATATGCATGGGGGTATTGGGGTAACGATACAAAAGGTTTGCTAGGGTAGGCCCTTTTTCACTCAGACTCAGCCCCCCCCCCCCCCCCCCCCCCCCCCCCCCCCGAATCAAACTCAGCTCCCCCTGAATCAAAATCCTGGCTACAGGCCTGGTCATTGCCAAACATTCAAATTGTTCAGGAAAGATTATTATCTTCCCTTGATTCTTTGTTCAAACAACTACCAAGTCTATGGTCAGGAATGAGTCCTTTGGCACACCCTCTCTGTGTTTTCTTAAAGCTTGACTCTTTCCAAACCCCCTGTTAAGTTTTCCATTATTCTTGAGTATGTTATGCATATGTACAAAAAATTAAGATCAATATACTACTGTATTATAATAATAGTAGAAGGCCCAAGGGTCAAAATAAACAGAGAGAAGTGATGAGGGTGAGGTGTGGGTCCTATCTGATAGCAGGCATCCATGTGAACTCATGGCCCTTCTTTATGGTTGCATATATGCTGTTGAATTAATGCAGTTTGACAAGACTTGAACTGGTATGGCTCAATGCTATGGAATCATGGGAGTCATAATTTTGCTTTCTCTTGCAAAGAGTGCTTCAACTACAACTCCCATGATTTGGATAAAGCAAGCTGAAACACATTTACAGACTTACTTCAGCAGAAGGTATCTAAAGCCAGAGGAAACACACTTACATCTGTTACTGGATCACATAAGAGAGGAAAGAGTGGTGGATTTATTGGTCTTTTTCTCGTATCAGTGTATTTTCTTTCTTTATGATTCTCTTTTTGGTTGTAACAAGAGAGGGGTGCATTAAGAGAATGGGATCTTGCTATCCAATCTCCACAGTATCCCAAAACAACATACACATGCACAAAGAAAACCTACATATGCATTTGCCGCTAAGAGAATGCGATCCATTATTTGTTACGTTTCTATCTCACTCTTCTACAAATGACGCTCAACTAGTGTCCAACAGGAGGAAAATATGCTTGTTGGGTATGAAACCTTTCGCTGCTCGAGGATCAATATAATTCCCCCCAACGCCATATGCTTTCTGTATATATTTCAGATTTCAATATTAATGTCAAAAATACATAGCATGATTTTACATAGGATTTGTGCTACATTAGAAGAGTAAAGACAAATATCACTTAAGTAAAATAAACATTAAATATTAAATAACTAGAAAAATAAAATAAGGTGTAAACACTAAACTAATCTGGGAATTTGCTATTGCAACACATCCAATGAAGTGGTTTAAAACCAGTATATATAAAAAAGATTAGGACTAAGTACGTCCCAGTGTATTTGGAATACACAAAGCTCATTCCAGAAGTGTATTTAAGAACTGGTCCAATTTAATGTTTATATTGATATGTGTTTAATTCCATGTTTTAATGGTAAATGATGTCATGTTTTATGATTTAATTGATAATTGTGTTTTAGTGTTATGTTAGGGTAGGCATTACATTTTGCCGCAATTATGTTGGAAACGGCTTTGAGTCCCCCGCTTGAGGGAGGGAAACAGTATACAAGTGAAGTAAATAAATAAATAAATAAAGATGAAATATGCAATATCAAAATAGTCAACAAAAACATACAGTAAAAAGCCACTACCATTATAAAACCACTTACTCTAAAAACACAACAACTGAATCACTTTCTCTTGCGAGGTAGCGGCATAGAAGTTCGTAGGTTCCTAGGAGGGAAAATATCAATTGACAAAAATTATTAAAAATCAAGTTGGTCCTCACCACTGTAGGTTCACTAATACTATTGTTAAGTTTCACAGTTGATTATGAATTTGAGTTTTTATTAAATAATGTATATAGGGGCTGGTATTTCGCAGCATGAGACCAGGGGGCTGATTCTGCAACCTGGACTGGAATCATATATGATCTTTCATGTAACATGAATTAGTTTGCACTTCATAGACCTAGATTATATGAGTATACACTGCCATATAATTCAGTTCTGAAATGGCATTATTTGTCAGTGTAGATCCAACCGCAGTAGCAGAGTTGCTAAGAAACCCAGTTATTGAATTGCCAACATTCATAACAGATATACATTGGGAATTCCCAATGTGCATAACAACTCCCTTGTTGGTTTCCTATTGTACACATAAGTTCCTTTACTAGCTCTGCTACATAGTTACAAAGTATCCCCTCTGATACTAAAGTTAAGTATCTTCACAATTCTATTTCATGCACACGAGTGTCCACTTATCTGGAAACAATACCATACTAGGATTCCAACAATGGTTCAAAATAATATTTAATGAATAATGGTACATCTGGCTGCAGACGCAGACTGCAGCCAGGAAATCAGAAGACGCTTACTTCTTGGGAGGAGAGCAGTGGCCAATCTCGATAAAATATTGAAGAGTAGAGACATAACGCATGCAATGAAGATCTGCATAGTTAAAGCAATGGTATTCCCCGTAGTAACCTATGGATATGAGAGCTGGACCATAGGGAAGGCTGAGCGAAGGAAGATAGTTGCTTTTGAACTGCGGTGTTGGAGGAAAGTTCTGAGAGTGCCTTGAACCGCGAGAAGATCCAACCAGTCCATACTTTAGGAAATAAAGCCCGACTGCTCATTGGAGAGAAGGATAGTAGAGGCAAAGATGAAGTACTTTGGCCACATCATGAGAAGAAAGGAAAGCTTAGAGAAGACAATGATGCTGGGGAAAAGGAAGGAAAAAGGAAGAGGGGCTGACCAAGGGCAAGGTGGATGGATGGTATCTTTGAAGTGACTGGCTTGACCTTGAAGGAGTTGGGGGTGGCTATGGCCAACATGGAGCTCTGGCATGGGTTGGTCCATGAGGTCACGAAGAGTTGGAAGCGACTGAACGAATAAACCACAAGAACAAGTGTATTTATAATAATATTATTATTAGGGCTGGGCGGTTTCGTTTCGTTAATTCGTAATTCGTTAATAATTCGTTAATTTTTTCAATTACAAAACGATAACGAACCATTCTGGAGCAATTATTTAAAAAAACGAATTTTCAAAAACGTTTTGTAAATGCTTAGTATTTCGATATTGTATTCGTTTCGTTATTGTTTTGAGGTCGTTTCGTTATTATTTCCGCATGTCTGGGCCAGTTTTATGGTTTAATTAGTGAAAAAAAATTATAATATCACACCAACAGTCAACAACAGAGGGAGAGGGAAGCTTCAGAAGGATTTGGAGGTTTTTTAGCGTATTTCGCGGTCGCGTCCGCCATTAACGAATCGATTCGTTATTGTTTCGGAAATCGATTCGTTAATTTTTTACCATTTACGAAATTTCGTAAATATCGAACTTTTTAAAGGAAAATTTTGTAATTATTTTAAATATCGAAACAAAAAAACCCCCCAAATACAAATCGATTTTAGAAACAAATTTTTCCGTTGTTACCCAGGCCTAATAATTATGGCTGCTATCCAACAGTTTTATTCCACTAGCTGAGATTTACACCAGTGATAATTTTATTAGTTGGCCATTGGATCAATGGTTCTAATCTGAGTTGGGAATAATTGGTATTGTGTGGCAGAGGGAAATATTAGTTGTGCCACCAGTAGTACAATCTGCCATCACAGGTGCTCACAAAATCTGCAATGTGCCTGTGCAACTGGAAAATAAAGCAGCAGAGCTGTTACGTTGGCTTGGATTTAGAGTTTAATTATCTAAAAGAATAATAGATTTTGTTAATAAAAATGAAATAAGATATGTCTCCAGTCATTTCACACTTTAGACATAGACATGATTCCATTATAACTGCTATGGCAACTTTATAGTCATCAGAAGAGTAGGAAGTCAATTCTACAAGGAGTGGCTCCCATGTACATGGAGCAGTGGATCCCCTCTGAATTTTAGGCTGAGCTTTACTGAAGCTATCCAAGGTGCTGAACCCTTCTGACATGTGTAGAGATCAGCACCTCAGTCAGCTTCCACACTCCACAAATATAAATATGACCTGACGATGTATGTTCTTTGCTTTGGATACTCTTACTTCTTGAAACTCTTGGAAGTCTCATTTTGGATTCCCAGTCGTAATCACATATTATTTTAAAAAGCAATGTTACAGTTCCATGATATATCTTACTTTTGCTTCCAACCACTGCACATCCACCATGTATGTAGATCAATCCTCTTCTTAGCTCACTAGATGGAGTTTTTGGATGGTAAATCCTTATCGGCACATGCTCAAACCTTGAATCTTCAATGAAGAGCTTTGACTCCTTCCCTACTGGTACTGAATTCAACAGAAATCTGATGAACTGAAGTTGGGTACAGATCCTTAATTTCTCAAAAATCTTCCCCTGTTTTACAGCGAGGGAGAAAGAGAGTGGTAGATCAGAAAATTAGTATAAGGCACTGTGAATATCAATTTCTTCCAGTATTGAGAGCCTGTGTGTGCTGGACTAGGATTTTGGTGAATCCTACTTCAAGCATGGAAATCAACCTTGGGTAAGTCACATTTTCTCAGCCTCAGATGAAGGCAATGACAAACCTTTTTTGAATATATATTTTCCCCCACCCAAACTCTAAGATAAGGTCAGCACAAGTTGGAGCTGACAACAAAAGTTTCATCCCCTTCCAAAAACAATGCATTAATGGCTTTCAAATTGTTTTATAGAGAAGGGTTAATGAATTAGCTTGGAGATCAATTTTCTTTAAACAAGAATCCTCCTTCTAAAGATTACACAGTACAAGTTCCATATAAAATTCAGATTAATGTCATACCCAATCTTTGTTTTGATTTTCAGACCATTTTTAAAAAAATTCAAACCCTCCAATCTACCCTTATTACATTGGTGCAGTTTTTGTTCTCTAAACTCCCTGTTTGTGAAGCACTGCTTGCATTTTCCTACTCTTGGAAGTCCTACACTGACTACTCTATGTCCTTTGGATATACTGTATTTACTCAAATCTAGCACTCACCTTTTTGCCTAAATGATCTCTCCAAACTTAGGGTGAAATTTAGATTCATGCTGTAGTGAAATTGCTACTCTATGTTAAAGTTTTGGTGTATAGATCTATGTTTACATATGGCAGATAGGGAAGAATAAGTACAGACAGGGTAGCAACAGCAGAGATAGGATTCATTTGCATATGTGAAGCCGATTGGCCATATGCAGATTAGTTTAGGCCCAGGATTTGAAAAGGCTGCCAAGCCAAAATGACAGTTGGGGAGAGCAGAGCTGAATATTCCAAAGGGGTGGAGCCAAGGTTCTGAAAGAGGCAGTTAGAGTGAGGGAGTTTGAAAATGACAGTTAGGAATCTGTGTGTAAAGAGGAGAGTTGGTTTTTGAGTGCCTGATAGAAATAAGCAGTTATGAAGATGTGTTAAAGACTTCTGATATAGAGAAGCAGTTAGTTAAATAGAGCTCGAGTTTTAAGGAACATAAAGAAGGCTAGTGTTGCCTTAGTTCAGAATATAATTCAGCCAAGAGTGTGTAAAGCAAGTAACATGTTTGTGAATGTGAAACATTGATAGTTTATTCAGAAAAGTTAACTAAGTAAATGATACTGACTGTAAGCCTCAAGATTGCAACAAAACACAAATGTAACCACAAGCGTTGGAGCCAGAAGTTATAAATAAACTGTGTTACTTTGTTATACACAAGAGTGTTTCATTGCCTGCGATATAAAGTACAAAGGTTTAACAGCACACAGAAAGTCCCTGCCAATATAAAAGAAGAAACTGAATCAGTATAAGGCAGCAAAGAGGTTTTTAAAGAGGAAATAATCTCTCTCCCTCGCCTCACATGCCATACATCTTAGTGCTGAGCCCAAGCCAAAGGGGAAGTTGCTTCAGGAGATGCACCAGGAGCTCCTCTTTGAGGGACCTCATCTTTAATTTAGTTGCCTTGATTCAATGCTATGCAATCCTGGGATTTGTAGTTTGATGAGGCATCATCCCTCTTTGGAAGAGAAGGCTCAAGATCTTGTCAAACACTGCCCCATAACTCCATAGCATTGAGCTGGGGCAATTAAAATGATTCATTCCACAGCATAGGTACATCCCAAGATTTTCTTTTTCATTGCTGGAAGCTTCGGTGTTCTACCACTTGGAATTCTAAGCAGGCAGCAACTGTAATGGCCAAATGACAAAGAGGGCACTTTTTGCAACTGCAAGTTATATTTATGTATTATTTAAAACATTTATATCCTGCTCTTCTCACCCCAAAGGGGACTGAGGGCAGAGCACAGCATATACATGGCAAACATTCAATGCTGGGACAAGAATTCATTATATGCATACATAAGCATAAAAAACATTTATCTCAATATTAAAAAACACTGCTTGGACATCTGCGTCAAATCTAATTTCCTATCACTGCTTTATTGCACTGTCCCAAAAGCTTGGTCCCACAACCAAGTTTTTACCATCCTTCTGAAGGACAGGAGGGAGGGGGATGATCTGATCTCACCAGGAAGAGAGTTTCAGAGCCGGAGGCCATCACCGATAAGGCCCTCTCTTTCGTCCCCCCCAATTGCGCCTGTGACAATGGTGGGACGGAGAGCAGGGCCTCTCCGGAGGATCTTAATCTCTGCGATAGTTCATAGGGGTAGATGCGTTTGGCAGCAAATACCTATTTTGGTTTCAGGGTTTTGAAAATTGAGGTGCACATTAGATTCGATGATGCATTAGACTTGAGTAAATCAGGTTAATCATAAGCAATCTGAAGCTGCCAATGATACTTATGAAAAGCCTCCCCCTTTCCCTGACATGACTTAACCTTACTTGCCCTGTGTTGTAGGTTTTTCAGGCTGTTTTAGAAGCATTCTCTCCTGATGTTTCTCCTGCATCTATGACAGGCATCCTCAGAGGCTGTGAGACCTCACAGCCTTTGAGGATGCCTGCCATAGATGCAGGCAAAATGTCAGGAGAGAATGCTTCTAAAACATGGCCATACAGCCCAAAAATCCTACAATAACCCAGCGATTCCAGTCATGAAAGCCTTCGACAAAACGTTCTTACTTGCCCTGTTACTTTAAATGAGGAAGATGTTACTAAACACTCATGCAAAACCCTTTGGATATGGCACACTATGCATCAGTTGAAGTGTGCAACTATATGGTCACTTCTATGCAATGTAGCAGAAGGTATGTTATACATGCTTTATGCCAGATATGCAGTTGATATAAACTAAAGCCAGGGAATTCCTCCAAGATATATTGGTAAAACACTCTACTAGTGCATCTGCTCTGTAATAGATAAGCCACCAATTCTAAACAAAGAAACAAAATAGATTGTCTGGTGGACAAGGTTTAGCCCTGAAATGGTTCAGTTCGTTCCTCCGGGACCGGAGACAGAGGGTGGAGTGGTTAGGCCAAAGCTCTGAGAGCTCCTGCCTTTGCTGTGGAGTCCCCCAGGGTGCTATCTTCTCTCTCCTGATATTTAACATCTACGTCCGACCACTTGCTGGACTGGTGCGGAGCCTTGGCATAGAGTGCTACCAGTATGCAGATGATACCAACTCATCACTGCTTCCAAACATCCTAAAGTTCTCAGGAATCACGGTTGTCCCAGGTTCGAGATGCAAGAGTAGAAGCTACTCTTGCGTCTCGAACCTGGGACAACCGTGATTCCTGAGAACTTTAGGCTGTGTTTGGAAGCAGTGATGAGTTGGCTGCGAGCGAGCAGACTAAAAGTGAATCCTGCAAAAACTGAGATACTCTGGCCCGGCCAGCCGCCAGAATTAATCCAGTCTCTGCCTGATTTCGATGGGGAAGTTCTGGTTCCGTCTTCCACTGTTAAAATCCTTGGGGTTGTGTTGGACTCATCGCTGACGATGGAGGCCCAGATCACTGCCATAAGTAAGCAGGCCTTTTTTCATCTTCGCCAGGCAAGGAAATTGGCATCCTACCTTTCGGTAGAAGTATTGGCAACGGTAATCCACACAACAGTCACCACTAGGACTATTGCAACACCTTATATGCCGGCCTTCCGAAGTCAACAACTCAGAAGATTCAGATGGTCCAAAATGCGGTGACCAGGTTGCTAGCAGGATCATCTATAAGATCCCATATTACACCAATTCTACAACAACTGCATTGGCTACCAATAGAACATCGGATCTCTTACAAGATACTGATCCTGACATTTAGAGCTCAAAATGGCCAAGGACCTTTATATCTTAGGGACCACCTCATTCCTTTTTTCCATCAGTGGTTACCTTGATCCACCCAAGAAAATCTCCTATACATACTGGGCCCTAGGGAGGTACACCTGGAAGCTACACGGCGTAGAGCTTTTTCAATCTATGCTCCAATTCTGTGGAACTCATTGCCTCCATATATTAGAGCAACGTCGGAGTTGCAATCTTTTGTAAAGGCGCTCAAGACTTGGCTGTTTGGTTGTGCATTTAAGTAAAGTGATCAGATCTAATTTGCCAAATAGTCCCTGTTGTATGTTTTTATGTTGAATGTTTTTATATTGTGTAAATGCTATTTTAAATTGTAAGTCGCTCAGAGCACCTTGGTAGAGAGCGACTAATTAAGAAATAAAGTGAAGTGAAATAGATAAATAGGGGTTTTCTCCATCTTGAAAAATGAAATACATTTTTGGGCTCCCCTTTGGATTTTAGAGCCTCTACTCCCGAATCCTAATCTCTAAACATCAGATTCTCCTCTGAGCACTTCTCAACCTACAGCTCTCAGTCAAGATTTTTTGAAAGCTAGGTGTTCAGTTTGTAACTTATGGTTTTTAGAATTGAGCATCTTTGGAAAGGATATAACATGGACCTGATGCCTTGAAGAAAAAAAAGAAGCTATTCCTCCTATATATATACACACACACAGTTCAGTAGATGATGAAATTTGGTACACTTGCTCAACTTCAAGAAAAGGATGCGGGGAAGAGTATAAGCGAGGCAAGCTAAGACCTCAAACCATTTAAGGCTTTACATAAAGGAACCTGCAACCTACCAAAATTGGCAAGTGATCAATGGAGATCAAGTAACACTGTGGCAATGTGCCCAAAAAACCCTCATCAGGTCTTCTGAAAGGCCTCCTGGCTCCCCTCCTTACTTTCACCCCTGGCAACCATTCCAGGGGGTTGAAGTAGAGAAACATGCAACTGCTTCATCTAATAAGGTATGATTTGCTCTCCCCCTCTTTTCTCCTATCCATTTTTCCTTGATGCTCTGTTTCTTTTGTAAGTAAACCCACAAACAGGGGCTGTCTTTCACTGCTTGTACATAAAGTGCTCTCAGGAACTGTTTGCCCGAGGAGTGGGATTAACATCCTATAATGAAATGAGAGAAGCAAATTGAAACAACTGTAAGAAGCAACCATTTTACACCCATTAAAATTTTCAAGGTATTATATATGGATCGTTTGTGAAAGAGAACATTGCAACAATTCTGTCCTAAGCTACGAAAAGTGAATAATGGCAGCTGGGTCTGCTATTTTCAGAAAATAGCTTCCCAGTTGAGGTTACTCTGAGTCATTCCTCCTGCAGCTTCACAAGGAGTATAAACTCCATCCCAAAAAGGTTGTGTGCCATATCCTATGCTAGTTGGAGGATCGGTATACATATGGTCCTGAATCTTATACTATATTGAATAGCATATATTAGCCTTATTTGTGTTGTGTGCCTTCAAGTCATTTGCGTGGATCACGATCGGGCAGCCCACTGCTGTCCGATACCGCAAAAGCCAGGGTGCCGCCGGCACAATACCGGGTAAATGCAACTCAGCACCCCAGGGACCACCAGGCGTTCCCCCTTTCCGCTAGGGGGAGGTACCAAACCAGATCCAGGGCCCATGCCCCACGCCAACAAGGAGTTGTGACAAGAAGCATAAAACAAACAAGTAACTGCTAACAGGTAACCAGGACAAGGTAAACAACAACAAAAATTAACCACCAATGAAAACATAAACCATATGCAGGGTGGGTGGGATGGATCAGCTCTTGCAGGCACAGTGCCTGCTGGGGAGCCTGGGGCAGCCTTATATAGGCTGCCCACGGAGAGGGAGAGGCCAGCTCATGCCTCTCCCACAGCAAGGCATGGTCACTTGGCCATTGGTCAATTGACCCGCCGGCGGGAAACCTTCCCACCATCCGAGGGAGCTTCTGGGAGGAAGAAACCCCCCTGAGGCAAGAATGGCGGTGGGGGACGCCCTGCACCGCAACTTCCTTGGCCCGGTAAGTTGGGCCATGCCTTTTCTGACTTAAGATTAACCTAATGCAATTTCCCCTCTCCCTCCTCCCTGCCTCCTTCTTGAGTCATGATATTTACAAGACGACTCCTGAGGGTAAGGTAGATGTCTGTGTTGTGGCTCTAGCCTGCCATGACATGATAGATGAGGATGGAGGGAATCACCATATCCTATCACTGGGCTGTTTGAGCCCGGGGAGCCCAGGGTGACCCAACTGTCTCAACAGGCCCTTCAGGAATTAGTTTATTTATTCATTTACAGTATTTATATTCTGTCCTTCTCACCCCGCAGGGGACTCAGGGTGGATTACAATACATGGCAAACATTCAGTGCCATAGACATCCAACATATATAGACAGACACAGAGGCAATTTAACATTCCAGCTTTTCTTGAAAGTCTTCTGGCCACCAGGGGAGCTGTCACTTCACTGACCATTTGTGACACTGATGACGTACTTCCTCATTCTTTGCATGCCTGCTGGAGATTTTTAAGGCCTCGTAAATTAGCTAAATTTGCCTCCCCGCATAAGAGGTACCTAAATTTCCTACTTGACAGATGCAACTGTCTTTTGGGCTGCAAAAAATTGGTTGGAAGCTCACTCCGACCAAGGCTGGCATCAAACTCATGACCTTTTGGTCAGTAGTGATCATAATGCAGCTGACTTCCAGCCAGTTGTGCCACAGTCTCGGTTTGTCCCTGGATTTGCTTCACCCAAGGTGAAAGCTATGTAAAATGACTTTCCATGGGATAAGCTGGATCAGCCCCCTTGTGGCATTTAACCAATTCAGGGCTGATTGAATGGTCAGTGTATATGTTCCTTAACAACCTCATAAATCCCCAATTGACACTGACAGCATAAGCCAGTTCAGCAATAACTTATCCACAGAGCCGATCAGCTCCCATCCCATGCCGTAGAGGAACTTCCAGCAGGGCTCTGTGGGTAAACTATTGTGGTACTGACATATGCAGCAACAGTGGCTACATGGGGGTCTTCCCATGTTCTACTAGGAACAGTGAGGGGAAGCCGGGCAGTCTACACTTCCACCCATGAAATGGGGATTTGGTGAGTTGGGCAGATGGCACCTATGGATTTGCAATGATGTGTGATGATTCTGATGGCCCATCTGATGCCGTCGTAAGAGAAGATGACTTGCCCAAGGTCAATGCTACACTGAGTCTTATATTAGATTACATCAGACTTAGTGTATATACTGCCTTAATTGATAAAAGAGGTTGCAATCTTGGTAAGGCATGACAGAAGGAAGCAAAGACATAAAACAGCAATGAATAAAAATGTATATCTTTGGGCATCACTATAATATATTTTAAGCCACATTATCCATTCTGAGGATACTTGTTATTGCTATGTGCTAGGCTTGGGTAACAACGGAAAAATTTGTTTCTAAAACCGATTTGTATTTGGGGGTTTTTTTTGTTTCGATATTTAAAATAATTACAAAATTTTCCTTTTAAAAAGTTCAATATTTACGAAATTTCGTAAATGGTAAAAAATTAACGAATCGATTTCCGAAACAATAACGAATCGATTCGTTAATGGCGGACGCGACCGCGAAATACGCTAAAAAACCTCCAAAACCTTCTGAAGCTTCCCTCTCCCTCTGTTGTTGACTGTTGGTGTGATATTATAATTTTTTTTCACTAATTAAACCATAAAACTGGCCCAGACATGCGGAAATAATAACGAAACGACATCAAAATAATAACAAAACAAATACAATATCGAAATACGAAGCATTTACAAAACGTTTTTGAAAATTCGTTTTTGTTAATAATTGCTCCAGAATGGTTCGTTATCGTTTTGTAATTGAAAAAATTAATGAATTATTAACGAATTACGAATTAACGAAACGAAACCGCCCAGCCCTACTATGTGCCTTCAATTCATCACCAACTTATGGTGACACTAAGGTGAACCTCAAAGGTTTTCTTGGCAAGATTTGTTTTCTTTTTTGGAGAGGTGTGTGTGTCTTTGCCTCCCTCTAAAGTTGAGAGATCGCAATTTGCTTACCTAGTAGGTTTCCATGTCTTGAATCCCTGTTCTTCAGCATTATAGTCGAACACCCATACTACACCATGCTGACACTAACAACACCACATTGGAAGGACAGAATATCAACCAACAGTTGCCAACATTTCATAATTACAATAGCAATTCTATAAATAATATATATTTTTATTAAATAAAGAAAATCCAGATGTTAAAATCCCAACATATAAAAGCACCCTCAATTATCATCTTCAAAATGAGAATACTTTAAATTCTGCATACACATACACACACACATGTCAACAAATTGGTTTAGTAAGTTTGTTTAAACCTGCTGTTGCTTGAACTTATCCCTCCTGGGGCACCTAGAGAGTGTGCCTGACTTGCTTACACCAGATACGTACTATCAACAAAGTACTGTGTGAACTAAATAGAATGGCATCCAAATGAGTAACTTCACATTGCTATTTTTCCTTCTCAAAATTCTCACTATGATGGTATCCCACTATGTAGACCAGAGGTTAGGCACACAAGTTCTTGTAATTTGGCTACAATATTAGTTGTTCAGTTTCCTTGTGGAGAGAAAAAGCAAAGTATAAATAAACATAATAATAATAATAATAATAATAATAATAATAATAATAATAATAATAATAATAATCTGTTGGGTGGATAGAAATCTGTCTTTCAGTTGGAATTCATCAAAGAGAAATAGTTACTAGTTTTACCAATTATTAGCTGTTCCTAAGAACATGAAATCTCATTCTAACAAGTGTGAGATGCAGATATTACAATTGCAGTAATACATCCGAGGGAGGAAGGGAAGGGAAGGGAAGGGAAGGGAAGGGAAGGGAAGGGAAGGGAAGGGAAAGAGGAAGGAAGGAAAGGGAAGGGAAGGGAAGGAAAAGGAAGGAAAGGGAAGGGAAGGAAGGAAAGGGAAGGGAAGGGAAGGAAAAGGAAGGAAAGGAAAGGAAAGGAAGGAAAGGAAGGGAGGGAAGGGAAGGGAAGGAAAAGGAAGGAAAGGGAAGGAAGGGAAGGAAAGGAAGGGAAGGGAAAGGAAGGAAGGAAAGGGAAGGGAAGGAAAGGAAAGGAAAGGAAAGGAAGGAAAGGAAGGAAAGGAAGAGAAGGGAAGGAAGAGAGGAAGAGAAGGAAGGGAAGGGAGGGAAGGAAAAGGAAGGAGAGGAAGAAAAGGAAGGGAAGGAAAGGAAGGGAAAAAGGAAGGGAAGGAAGGAAGGGAGGAAGGGAAGGGAGGGAGGGGAAGGGAGGGAAGGGAAGGGAAAAGGAAGGAAAGGAAAGAAAAGAAAAGAAAAGAAAAGGGAAGGGAAGGAAAGGAAAGGGAAGGGAAGGGAAGGGAAGAGAAGGGAAGGGAAGGGAAGGGAAAGGAAAGGAAGGGAAGGGAAGGAAAAGGAAAGGAAAGGAAAGGGAAAAGAAGGGGAAGGGAAGGGAAGGAAAAGGAAGGGAAGGAAAAGGAAGGAAAGGAAAGGGTGTTTTGATGCTTACCCATTGAAATGCATAGATTGTTCCCACATGATATAGCCAGAGCTTTATAGGGTCTCTCCCTTCCACAGGAAAGTCTACTTTTGTGAATGCACTATAGGCAAGCAGAGAACGTTCAACAAACAATGCAGGAATGTACATTGCACGTCTTGTGACAGACGTGAAAATTGAAACCAAGCTCTGTAAAAAAGGCATTGTCCTTTTCAAAGGAGATGGGATCGAAGTTCTTGCTCCTTTGCCAAGTGCTGTTTGTGAACTCCAAACCAGTTACAGCACTGTAAATAAGTCAATTCTCCACCTACACAGGTGGAGGTAGGATCTCCAAATCTAAGCACATCAGAGCGCATATTCATGTGGTTGGGAAAGAGCACGGCCCAGAGAAGGTGTGGCGTGAAGTTGCTGCATATGCATTAAGCAATTAGATAAATTGGTAACTAGACAGAGAATGCATCACTGCTAGAAGAGAATGTGTGTAAGATATGGTAATTTATATCCTTTAAATTTTTTCAGGTTCAGTGTCTGTATTCATAAGATGGTTGTTTTCCACTTCACCTGTAGCACCATTCATTTGCTAGATTTTTCTATAAAGAAACATGCCTTCTACTAAAACATCAAGGGTATGGGGAGAGTTCCTTTGGAAGAGGCATCAAAGAGATCATCTCTTTTGGATTCAGTCCTAACCAAAGGGAAAAAATATGTCAATGGAGTGAAAATAGTGTTTGGGAGTGTCCATTTTCTCTTAAAATTTGTTATGCAGAGGAGACAGGAAGTCAAATGCATACAGGCATAGGCTCTGGACTTGAAAAAAAGCTGATTTCAATACATTAGGGAAATATTGCGTGAGATCCTATGGTCAAAAAGGCTGAAATAAAAGAGAATCCTAATGCCTGGTTGTTGTTGTTTTAAATACCACATTTTCCAGTGTATTAGATGACTTTTTCACCCCGGAAAATCTTATGAAAAGTCGGGAGTCGTCTAGTATGCCGGGTATAAAATCAAAATATTAATAATAATTAAAAGAAAATAATAAAATCCAACTCATTTAGTGGCATGGCCAGAGGAGGGAGGAGGATGAGGAGGAGGATGGAGGGAGGAGGAGTAGCAGGCCGCATTACCACGAAGACCGGTCAGGGGTGATGGCCCGCTGGGCTTTCCCATGGTTCCCACTGCTCTCGACGCTCTACTTTCAAGGCCCTCTTCTGCCCCCGCTGTTCACCTCTTCCAAAGGCCACTGGGCTCACCTACGCCCAAGGAAGGACCTCCGGACGATGACTCCTAGCAGCCCCAGATGGCAGCATGCCTTGAATGTGCTCGCTGAGGCATTCTGGGAGCCATAGTTCCTGAACTCCTACGGCTTCCATAATGCCCCAGCACGTACATCCATGGCACACTGTAATCCGGGGCTGCTGGGAGTTGTCCGGAGGCACAAGGAAGCACCTCCAGACAACGACTCCTAGCAGCCCCAGTTGGCAGCATGCCTTGGATGTGCTCACTGAGATATTCTGGGTGTCATAGTTCCCATACTCCTATGGCTCCCAGAATGCCTCAGCAAGCACATCCAAGGCACACTGTAATCCGGGGCTGCTGGGAGTTGTCTGGAAGCAACTCCCAACACCCCAGGCAGCAGCATGCCTTGGATGTGCTCACTGAGGCATTCTGGGAGCCATAGTTCCTGGACTCCTACGGCTCCCAGAATGCCTCAGTGAGCACATCCAAGGCACGTCACAGCTCGGGGCTGCTGGGAATCATCCAGAGGTGCAAGGAAGAGCCTCCAGATGATGACTCCCAGCAGCCCCAGATGGCGGTGTGCCTTTGATGTGCTCACTGAAGCATTCTGGGAGCCATAGTTCCCTGACTCCTATGGCTCCCAGAATGCCTCAGCGAGCACATCCAAGGCACAACGCCACCCAGGGCTGCTGGGAGTCGTCATCCAGAGGAGCTTCCTTGAGCCCAGGTGAGCTCAGTGGCCTTTGGAGGAGGTGAGCGGTGGGGGCTGCGGGGGTATAGTATTGGAAGAGGGGTGGTCTTAAACGGCGAGTATGTACCTAACTCTGTATTTTATCTTGAAAAGTTGGGGGTTGTCTAATACCCCCAGTTGTCTTGTATGCCAGAAAATACGGTAGATGAGCTATCTTCCAATGTGGAAAAAAGTGAATGGTATCTAAAGAAACAAGGATGAATGTACAAAACCTTTAAAATGACCTGACATTTATAGATGACATGAATGTAATAGGAAGAAGGAAGAAAATCCTCAAAGTGAAATGCATACAAATAGCCAATGTTTATATTACTGGGAAGACTGTGGATCATATATATTGACCATAGTAAGGCTTTTAATAAATTCCTCCCATAGTGCTATTGTTATGCAGATCTGTAAATAGCTGACATACCGAACTCAGATAGCAGTCAAACAATGGCTGCTCTTCATCCAGGAGAGAAGTGACCAGGGAATGCTTCAGGTTTCAGTCCTTCATGTGGTGTTTCAACACCTTTATACATAACTAAGTTGACAGAATAGGGTGCATGCTGGGAGTGAGGGAGCTAATACCTCAGTGAGAAGGATCACAATTTAAAGTGGCCTTGACAGATTGCACATGTTCTGTCTAGTGAAGGCAATAGTACATTTCGATCTCCAATTGTCCTGTTTCAAGTTCTTTCTTCCCATCACACGTCCTTACTAGGCATGGTTAGCTTCGGTCAGAATCGTCGTAATTCAGAATAAATTCGGAACAATCTCCTTTTTGAAGCAATTTCAAAGTTTTTAAGGAAACCGGAAGTCCCTTTGCCTTCCCGAAGCTTTTCCCACCATTTCTCTCATGAAACAGTAAGTGAGTTGGACTCTCGGTTCAAGCCAGAGAAGTGCTCTAAACCAGTCTGGATGGATTTCCTTCCTTTCCTTTCCCTCCTGCATCAGTTTAAACCAGTGTGGATAGATTCCCTTCCCTTCCTTTCCTTCCCGCATAAGTTTAAACCAGTGTGGATGGATTCCCTTCCTTTCCTTTCCCTCCCGTCAGTTTAAACCAGTGTGGATGGATTCCCTTCCTTTCCTTTCCCCCCCCCCCCCCCGCATCAGTTTAAACCAGTGTGGATGGATTCCCTTCCTTTCCTTTTCCTCCCGTGAGAGAAGTGGTTTTAACCAGTGTGGATAGATCCACCTCAGTTTAAACCAGTGTGGGTGGATTCCCTTCCTTTCCTTTCCCTCCTGCGTCGGTTTAAACCAGTGTGGATGGATTCACTTCCTTTCCTTTCCCTCCCGCGAGAGAAGCAGTTTTAACCAGTGTGGATGGATCCGCATCAGTTTAAACCAGTGTGGATGGATTCCCTTCCTTTCCTTATTATTATGATGTTTAAAAGCTAAGAAGAGCACAATTTCAAGCCTAGATTACAATTAAGGAGAAAATGCAGTGACAGCAAAGTGATGAAGAACGCCTACTCCTCCACATCACTGAAACAATTCAACACGGGTGAATCTGTCAGATCTCATCACATGTGCTTTTTGGCATTAGCTATGGTTCCAGTGTGCACCAGTAGGATAGGACATGATTACTTGATGTGTTCTGAGCTCCTTCCTTTCAGCACACTTCATCTCAATTTCAAGAACGAAGGACAAGGGTTGATGGCCGGAAGTAGGCAAACATCTGATGGACTCTGTGCCTCCTCGTCCTTGAAATGGAGATGAAGTGTACTACGATGGGGAAAATGCTCCATCTGATGAGGTCATTAGTTTGAAAGCAATGCATGTGAAAAAAACACCTAGAGCTCTTGGTAAACCACAAGTTAAAGATGAAACAGCAGTGTGATGTGATGCTTCAGAAACCCAATGCCTTTCTAGGCTGTATCGACAGGGGTATAGTGTCCAGGTTGAATGGAGTACTACTACTACTATTACTGTATTTTGCTATGGTCAGGCCTCACTTGAAATACATTATACTGTTTTGAATGCAAAATCTAAAAATGGATGGGGAAGGTCTGAAATGTAAGTCTCATAAAATAATGACTTAGGAAGCTGAGTATGTTTAGCTCGGAGAACAGAAGATTGAGAGGTGATATGAGGGCTATCTTTAAGCATCTGAAGGCATGTCATGTTGAAAATAGAGCAACCTTTCCCCACTTAGATAAATCAATGGATGCAAATGATTAGGAAAGAGACTCCACCTAAACATTAGCATTAGGAAACATTAGCAGCCTACCCTGAATGACTTGACTTGTTTGTTCTGTGTTGAATGAGTGCTCAAAAATGTACTGCCTTTCAAATTGATTGCATGTCTGTTATGAAACTCCTGGATCACAGCAGAGTGGGTGGTGCTTGGTAAATACCATAGGGCACCAGGTATAAATGGTCTTTAGTTCAGCGGTTCTCAACCTTCCTAATGTCGTGACCCCTTAATACAGTTCCTCATGTTGTGGTGACCCTCAACCTTAACAATATTTTCATTGCTACTTCACAACTGTAATTTTGCTCCTGTTATGAATCATCTTGTAAATATCCGATATGCAGGATGTATTTTCATTCATTTGGCACAAATACTCGATACGCCCAAATTTGAATACTGGTGGAGTTGAGGGGAGGATTGATTTTGTCATTTGGGAGTTGTAGTTGCTGGGATTTATAGTTCCCCTACAATATCAAAGAGCATTCTGAACTCCGCCAATGATGGAATTGAACCCAACTTGGGACACAGAGCTACCATGACCAACAGAAAGTACTAGAAGGGTTTGGTGGGCATTGACCTTGGGTTTTGGAGTTGTAGTTCAACTACACCCAGAGAGCACAGTGGACTCAAACAATGATGGATCAGGACCAAACTTGGCACGAGTACTCAATATGCCCAAATGTGGATACTGGTGGGGTTTGGGGAAGATAGACTTTGATATTTGGGAGTTGTAGTTGCTGGGATGTATAGTTCACCTATAATCAAAGAGCATTCTGAACCACACCAACTATAGAATTGGGCCAAACTTCCCACATGGAACTCCCACGACCAACAGGAAATACTGTGTTTTCTAATTGTCTTTGGTGACCCCTCTGACATCCCCTCGTGACCCCCCCCCGGGGTCCCGACCCCCAGGTTGAGAAACACTATTTTAGATCAACGTGTCATAGAACAAATACCATAGGCAATTGAGGGAAATGTTTAGTTCAAACACAAATAAGTCAATTCAGAAAGCAGTAGATGGTGTCCCTTCTTCCTAAGAAGAATGTGGATATGCTCTTCTTCAACCTTCATGGGGAATTTAAGACTGGCTCTACACTGCCCTATATAACTCAGGATATGATCCCAGATTAT